AGCCTCGACCAAACATTGGAGAAACACAGAAGATACATATTTCTGGGTGACCGACCGAACAATAAATGCATTAGCTCATGTAAAGTGAGACTACCCAATACGAGAGAGACGCAATCTTTTGGGCAAGTGTCCAAAATTTCGGGGAAAAGTTGTAAAAAAGTCAACTTGACAGTAATTCAACGAATAAAAGATTATTGGGGATATCGGCATCCCGCAAGGGTGGGTTTTGGTTTGCGTTCGAAATACTACCTACGGGAAACAACNTTGCGTTTTGTTAGGGGCGCGCAAGATGCGCACAACTCCCCCGGCTCTTGTGAAGCCCTCGGACGTGATGTGAAACAAGTCTACGGGAACCATTTACTGTAGTCCCTTTCAGACATGACGTATTCTGATGTTGACTCTTACTGCAAATGGGCCCATTGAAGTACTACACAAATTTGTTTGCTTGGGTAGCTATATCGGTCCCAGTTGTCTTGCTAAAGACGATGTTTCTATTCGGATTTGGAAGGTCGGAGCGGCTTTTGTAAACCTGAATCACTCGTGGCATAGGTGTGACACCAGCTTATCTGTCATCGGTCCAGTTTACAATGCTGCGATCGGCTTCATGTTGTTATATGGGTCAGGTGCTTGGCCTCTGTCCGCTGAGAATATTAAAAAAGCTTTCAGCTGGAGCCTGCGGAGCTTTGTCGGGGTCTGGCGGAAACAGCGGCCCAGTAATGCTGAAGTACGTCTAGTGGTTTTTTGAGGAAGCAACTCGCTCAAGCTAGATGAACTGATCACACCCCATATGTTGCGCTAGTTTGGTCACGTTCTTCGCATACCAGTCGATAGACTTCCTTAGAGAGTTTTCACATCCACACGAAGCGTGGAAACGAGTCGAGCGAGTTCAAGCACCGACTTGGCAACGAATTATGAAAGCCATTACCAGCAAACTCAGCTGTGCTGATCATTGCCTCCTCCACGGATGATGATTCCGTGATGGGACATCAACATAAAACAACCGTGCGCTCAATTGTGCGGATTCATTCAAGGTATTGCCTTCAAGGCGTAGCTTACCCTTGCATTCTTTCAGCGAAAAGTCCACTATCACCCTGCATTGACACATGAATTGATTGCTGGTCCTAATAAGTAGGTATCTTTCCCCGACTCCCTACATCATTGGTGAACGTAACTGTGGCAGCTATGACCGCTGCGTAACATGTACGTGGCTTTTAAACCTGATGATGATGGTGACGTGACGCAGTTAGATCCAGGATTATTTAATTACCACTTGATTGCTGCCAATCTCTACGGCGGATACATTTTTGTTGAAAATTCGTGTAGACTAGACACACTTGGTAGTCAGCACTTTATTCCAGGATTCGATCTTTGTTGTCTGTGCTAGAAGCATCGACCGCCCAGATGTGATTAGGGAATTCAGGTGACGAAGACTATGAGGTCTAGACAGTAGTCACCTTCTTGCCAGTTTAACCTTCAGTACGGACGTTGAAAGCTCTTATGTAGGAAGGATCCTTCTGGTTTAGCAGCATCAGTTTGTTTGTTGCTAATGCGTAGTGGAGTCTATAAAACACACTGGTCAAATAATGGGCAATCAGATGATTCACCTACGTTTGCGTGTATGGTGAGAAGAAGCTAGGGAGGACATCGGTGGACAAGGAACTGTGTGGGTATATCATCATCACTGTCAGCTGTAAATACCGTGTGCTTGTCGTGCAGCGGTTGTAGTTGTAGTTTCGTTCGCTGATGATTTGTTGAGGTGGGGTAGGTAGCTGCGCATTAGAGCCGGGGACTGGCAAATTGGTGTGATAACATAGGTCTGCCAGTGTACTTTTGTTTGGGAGGATCGGGAAGGAGCTATGCATTGAAGGTAGTAGCTTCTACTCACGAACGTCATGGAGGATGCGACTGGGCCATGTGTGACAATGTCTCCAACCATTGATGTGGCCCGTCTCGTGCCAGGTCATTGTTTGACCGCCTCTGGCTCTCTTTCACCCTTCACGTGTTTGTGCAAAAAGAGCCCTTCGAGGAAGTCCGGTCGACTGCATAGGCAGCACGTGACCAAGCCAGCGCAACCTATGCAGTGTGATCAATTCATCTATAGAAGGTTTAGTGGAGTTACTCAAGCTTGAGCAAGATTCTTACTGTGAGGTAGCAGGAGGATGGGTGTTGTTCGGGGACCATTCCCTAAAGCAGTTGGCTGTATAGTTTGTTAAGGGACCCTACCAGGAAGCCGATGGCCTACTAGTTTTGTCTGCTCTGCTGTAGGGCGCTGACCTAGTCCGGTGGAGCAGGGACTGAGTCATAGATGTGTCTCAGTCATGATGCTACCGTACACATTAGATGCTTTTTGAGCTGCATTGAGCTCATGATAAAGCTTTTTTTATCGTAATGCGTAACTCACCGGCGTTCATGGTCAACTGTTGGTGATCGGTGTGTTTGACCTATTCTAATTCGTCCTTTTACGGAGGAAAACAGCATCGCTGCTCCCGTAAACATGAACAGGGCGAGATGGCTTAGAGGTTAGAGCGCGAATTTACTGACTGGAAGGTCCGTGGTTCAAACCCGGCCTCTGCCTCTCGACTTCTCTTGTCTCTAGGCTTGGGCAACTTGACAGTATCCCAGCCATCGTGCTTCCTTCTGGTGGCATGGCACCTGGGCACCGAAAGGGTGTTACATCTGGACGCTCTAAACATGAGCAAGCTGATCGCTCGGGAGAGTCCCCTAACTGCATTCACAACTCCATCACAGAGGACAGTACAACTTTACCCCAAAGATGGCGTCATAATATCATTACTCTTAATACGGAATTCCGCTGCTCTTAATCTGATCACTCCCCTATGGTCTTTCTGGCATGTGGAGAGAACTTCCAACCAGTTCAGCCCACAGTATCATTGCAACACTCAAGCCCGGACGCCGCATCAGGGTGGCAGCTTTATGCAAAGCATGCACTTGTACGGGTGTCGCATATGAGTCGCCAAAATGTTACGTGTTGACGAGACGTGAGAACGAGCGCACTGATCCCAAGCTACGATGCGAGCCCAACCCCCCATAGCGCAGAGACAAAAGAAAAGGGACTTCTGAGGAAGAGCCTCGACCAAACATTGGAGAAACACAGAAGATACATATTTCTGGGTGACCGACCGAACAATAAATGCATTAGCTCATGTAAAGTGAGACTACCCAATACGAGAGAGACGCAATCTTTTGGGCAAGTGTCCAAAATTTCGGGGAAAAGTTGTAAAAAAGTCAACTTGACAGTAATTCAACGAATAAAAGATTATTGGGGATATCGGCATCCCGCAAGGGTGAGTTTTGGTTTGCGTTCGAAATACTACCTGCGGGAAACAACCCTGGTGACACTTACCAGCACGCGCTTTTCAGGATAGGACTCTGATGACTCCGCAAATAGTTGGACGTGGAGGCTGAATGTTTCGGTTGCCAACCATGTTCTTGCTGTTCGTGTTGACGGAACCGCCTTGAAACGTCCGAGTGGGAAGTGAGATTCTTCGTTATGCTAACTGAATACACACGGCCCACCTTTCTTCCCTTTGTGGGTTCTGGAAAACGGCGATGTGTCACGGTTGCTCGACAGAGAATTAGGTTTATAAGATTGGTAATGGTGTTGCTGCTGCCACTGGCAATTATTACGCAACTAGAGCACCGATTACATCTACAGATTGCAGTCCGCCAGATACTCTGAAAAGAAGGAACCGTTTTACTCAACGTTGGGTACACGTGCACAGACAATTGAAAGGTCTTGTTACGAGGACGTTAACAACGGCGCTATATATGGTGCGATAGGAAATAAACGTGGAGACGAAGCTAGTCAGTACCAGAAAAACAAGACCTCACGAAGACTTTTAGACGGTCTCCTATTGACCATTGTGTATGTATGTATGTATGTATTATATGTGTAACAACGTTCGGCACACGTGAGGTTACAGGAAAAACTCAGAGACTATTAGCGATCTCCGTCAGTCTGTTTGTTCATACCCAACCTGATGTTCTCATGGGAGTATTCCCCGCCGCTCAACATTTTGCGGATCTTGATCGTAAGGGTCTCCTTCGTCCAGGAAGACGTTTTGAAGACTGCCAGCAACCGTTCAGTTCCCACTCTCAGTAACTGGCGCTTCCAGGTTACCATCTGTGCTTGAAGGCTCCGGATGTCGCGTGCGTCCCTAACTACCAACGAGATTTGTTGATAAAATCTTGTCTCTCAATTGTGCTTGCTACTCCAGTACCGTTTTCCCCCGGCCGTTCACTTCACTCAGTGGTGGAAATCCTTGCCAAGTTCCTAATCGGAATGAACAGTGTCCGTTGTAAGTTTTATTCGAGGATCCTGTCGGAATAAACAATGACGACTTACCATAGAATACACTCAAAGTACATCTGGAAATTTAGCGTGGAACCATACTACCTATTGGCCTACTGTGTGGTCGTATGGATAAATCTCCAAAAGTACATGCTCATCATAAGTACAACTGAAAGGAATATTACGGTACTAGCCAAGGGAGGAACAATGCAACCCTGGATATCCAAACGAATACCGTGGGATTATGAACACATGATCCACTGAACCTTATTGATTTTGAAAATCTGAAGTTTGCAATGTAGGGAAATGTGAAAGTATTTTCAATGACTTAGGCGTATCCATAGGTGCGACCGTAGGGCATATTTATACTATTCCGGACTCCGGTGATCTGGCACCATTGCTAATCCCAAGCCGGAAATTCTTCTCGTTTTGCACAAACAACATGTAGGCGATTCCCATCTGCGTAGTAGTTTTTAGGAATTTTAATTTGGGTCCTGTTCAGTAAGTGTTCTTTTTTCGTATGGATATGTAACAGGACTTCAGTTTTATGTTTTAATCACGATGAAGCATTCGCCGACGCGAGACCTCGCAACCGCTTGAATTCACTATCAATTCATTTAAGTTTGTTCACAAATTTTGTGTGAACTTTACATATACATGCACTTCCTGTCCTTTCGAATTTTCCCAGAAAGGTTGCGGAAGAGGCACTGAACGACCTGATCGCGTGGATAACCGGAGGCGTTGGTGAAATAGGGGTGTTCGATGCCACAAACACTACTCGAGAACGCCGAGAGTGGATTGTAGAGCAATGTAGATCTCATCATTTGGATGTACTCTTTGTGGAACCAATATGCGATGACCCGAAAATCATTGAGGAGAACGTTTTGGTGAGTCTCTCTTGAATGCTTTTCATTACCGGATTACAGTGACGGTTTCTTTGTGCTCTAAGACTAGATAGTTGCTGGCTTAATCGTCGAAGAAGTTCTTTGGAGGTTGTATAATTCATCAAGAATATTGCCTATGTACAAAACGGGAAACAATGCTGATTTGCAGTGAAAAGCGAACTGCCGCCATGGCCAGTTGTCACAGACCCACATAGAGATCGTACTCGACCTGTATGTTGGTTGTATTCATCCAGTTGTTGATTCTCCGTCTCACCTGATTGTGTTAACCCTCACTAAAATCGTCGTTACGTGTAAGTAGCCGCCTCGGTCCATGAGCAAATGTCCCCAAAGAAAACCTTACCCTCCGCTGCCTTGCGGGTCAGACTTTTGAGTCAGAGGCTAGGGGCAGGGTATCTGAACGAAGTTCTACATCCTCCCACGTGTAAGTGGCCGCCTCGGTACATGAGCAGTAGGATTTGAGAACCGGGTAGAAACCAGCTATACAGCGGCTGTTCAGTAGGCACGAATTCTCATCGAGGGGCGTTGACGCGCTGTGCCGTTTGTAGTGAAGGAAGGAGCTGATGAAAAACAGCCCACGGATGGGTTCTAGTAAGAAGGTAATGAGTCACCTTGAAAAAATGCTTGCACATGCAGTTGAATGTTGATCGATCAAAACAGCTCACGTGGCAGAAAACTAGCGCAGTATAGCATACATATTTTGCATACGCAAAATATCCATAAGTGCTTAGCTCCTGAAAGTTATTTTCACCGACAGTTGTTCGAAACTAAATCTCACTGTCTTGTCGCTGTACAGATGGTGAGGTACACTGTTCACCAAAACCGCACATAGCCAGTCACTATTGACGTGCACATTGGTTACACGCTACCAAGGCGATTTGGAATTATATGTGGTCCCTCTCATCTATTATTTCAGTTGAGGCATTTTGTAACAAAATGTTTGTACAAGCTATATGGCTTGTATTTCAAACCAAGAAGCTTGAAGTATAACAACGAATGTCCGTTCTAGTTGTGCATCGAGGTTTCCTGTGACTAGGTCAACCTCTGAATTCGTCTTGATGGATAAGGTGCAGTTAGTTCCAGATAAAATACGTCCAGTCGAATCGGGCGACAGTTGACTGGTGCATAATCGAAGATCAGAACCAAAGAATGGTTAATACTTGGACTAGAACTGGTTCTCATGAAATTCGATGATAATTGAGTGGTGCAGGGACAAATGTCCCCAAAGAAAACCCTACCCTCCGCTGCCTGCGGGTCAGACTTTTGAGTCAGAGGCTAGGGGCAGGGTTCCTGAACGAAGCCCTACATCATCCCACTGTATTGTTGGTTGGACTTTTGAGTCAGAGGCTCAAGGTGGGGTTTCTCAACCAAATTTCTGTGCTCGGCCTAGGCCATCGGGAGGTATCATTCGCCCATACAGTTTTGTGTTCACCGATGTCCCTCCCCAACCCCTTTCCACCACAAGCAAGCGTCGTTGGGTCATTTGACTGACAGTTATCTGACCGAAGGGCTTCATGCTCCCCGCTGTCTATTGGGAATAAAATAAATCCACGAGGTCTTTTCTATGTAGGAGCTTTTAACGTCTGAACTCCATATCAAATTGGCAAACAGGCAATGCTTGCTGGAACCTTATACTCCCCTATAATTGATGTATGCTGTGTCTCCGAAACACATACAAGACTCAAGCGTGTTTATACATCTCAGAACGCGAGGGACGAACTTAGGTCTCTCACATTTCTCCATGCATGTGTCCGATGATGCAGAGGGATGACTCTCCTAATATGTGGTGTGGGAGTTGCACTCAGCCCCAGAGCTGAACTCCCTTTGCTACATTGGATCCCAGTGAATAGTCGTCTTCGCGCTATCTGGCTTTCCATTTCAATCAAGATCAACGCCTCTTGGCATAAAAACGGTGCTTGTTTGTAGTGTTGGCTTGTGTTCAAACGGACTGCAGTTGTGAAGCTGAGAAGGACACCTTATCCAGAGTTATCCTGGCTCATTCGTCAAGCAAGAAACACCGATATTTGTTACCTTAGGGCGATACGAATATTCCAATCGCCCGTCTGAGCTCCTTGGGATCACTTTTGGGTGGTCGATTCGGAGTCTATGCTGGTCGCACAGACACTTGTTTCCAGCCAACTGTTTCCAGTATAAGCATTCCCATCACGTAACCTGTCGGTCATCAACTGCAAATTCGCCATGGAGCCAGTTGGATCACGTGACCATCTGCCATCGGTGGAGTGCTACAATCCAAGATTGCCGTTCTTTATGGGGCACACGACCTGACTCCGATCACGCCATGGTGCGTGCATGCCTGATATTTCGTTTTCCCTCAGGCCCTCTCAAGTCAGCAAGAAGCGTGCCAATCCACTATTTCCGAAAAACTACCACAGCTCAACAGTATCGACCTGCCCTAGCCCAACAACTCTGAACAGTAAACCAATACTGTACGGGTCGTGAGCACGTGGGCGAAGCGTGGAAAAATGTGAAGGGAGCTATGTTAGTGGCGTTCAATGCTATCTGTCCTACTTCTCCAATTCGGTCTCGAGATCGCTATCCGTGCCAGAAAATCCATACCAGCAGGCAGTGACCGCGACGGCGAGCTCGGAAATCCCTAAAATACCAACTAGTGAACAGTCCGAGGAAAGACCGAGAGCTCTGGTGGGGATCGAAAGCTCGATAGAATGAGAAGGCTTTTGCTACTGGAAACAGCCATGCCCTATACCAACTGATACGATTGACTGACCCTAGGAAAGCAGCAGTCAGTGAAACGATAAATGGAAAAAGCGGCTCACTGATTCACCCGCTTAACCAGGAAGGTGGAACGAACTTCGAAGAACAGCTTAGCTGGTCTCCTACAACACAGCTTGTGGAAACAGTGCAAACGGGCGAATGAAATGTAGACTTTAATCGCCCGCCAGAAGAAATAAGGTACGAGGCATCTGTACTGAAATGTGGGAAGGTACTAGGACCGGACGGTCCACTCATCATTCTTCAAAGGTGTAGAATCCATGGTGACCCATCTGACAAAGCTTATTGATGCCATGTGGAACGAAGAGAAGGTGCCTACAGAATGGGGCGTGTCGACCGTTATTCCTGTCTCCAAAAAGGGTACTCAGACGCTGTGTGAAAACCATCTGTTAGCTGTGGCATCGAAGGTGCTCTCTGGCTTTATCCTTCGAAGGTTGACTGAACACAGGGAGAGGCAGATCCGTGAAAACCAAGCTGGGTTCGTCCTGCAAGAGGTTGCATTGATCATACCTTCACTCTCCGACAAGTTCTGGAACAGCGACACTGCTTCCAGCAACCAGCAATGGTTGTGTTTCTTGGTCCGAAAACTGCCTTTGACCCTGTGGCCGCCAGGCACTATGACTGTCTGTGGAGCGAACGTGTCCCCCATAAATTCTTGACCCCCCTTGAAGCGCTGTACGCCAACTCCCGCGGCCATGTGAAGATCTGAGGGAAGCTCTCGCCTGAGTTCACCACATCCACTGGTGTCCGACAGGGCGTCCTCGTTCACCTTTCCTCTTCAACTTTGTCATTGATGCGATCATGGAAGACTCACTACCAGTTTCTGAGTCTTCTGGGCAGCTGTATTAGTCCCGGTGGTCTCACGAAAGTTGAAATTTCCATCCGGATTGGGAAGGCCAGAGCAGCTTTTGCGAACCTACGTCACCTGTGGCGTAGGCGTAACATCGGCTTCTCTGTCAAGGGTCTAGTTTACAATGCTGCGGTGCGCTCCATATTACTATATGGATCAGAAACCTGCCCGCTGCGCGCCGAGAACGTCAAAAGACTTTCAGTGTTTGACCATCGATGTCTTCGGAGCATTGCCCGAATCTGGTGGGAACACCGGATCAGCAATTCTGAAGTACGTCGAATGGTATTCGGGAGAAATAACTCACCCTTGATAGATGAACTGATCACACTGCATAGGTTGCGCTGGCTTGGCCACGTTTTGCGTATGCCAGTCGACCGAATTCCTCGAAGGGCTCTTTTCGCACAACCACGTGAAGGGCTCTTCGGAAAATGGCGAGGTCCTGGCGAACAGTCTGACAACCGTAGTACAGATTTGGAACGAAAACATTATACCAGGTGAACGGAACTCCTCGACCATCATCCTAGTTTTCAAAAATGGAGCAAGAACGTCATAAGGAAGCCATCGTGGTACCAGACTGGTATACGTCGGATCTAAGGTGCTCTCTGGCGTTATTTTGCGCAGGTTGATGGATTATCGGGAGAGACAGATTCGTGAGAATCAAGCTGGGTTTCACCCTGGCCGAGGATTCATCAACCATATCTTTACCTTGAGACAAATTCGTGAACAGCGCCACTCCTTCAAGCGTCCCACGTTGGTCGTTTTTCTGGATTTGAAAGCTGCTTTTGATTCTGCCTCACGGTTTGGCATGCGATTCACACCGGCAGTGTGGCTGGGCTCGAACCCTAGTCTCATGCTTGTGGATGAACCGATTGAGGTAGTAGACAGATTTGTTTATGTGGGAATCTGTATCAGTCCCGGTGGTCTCGCAAAAGATGATATTTCCATCCGGATTGGAAAGTCCAGAGCGTCTTTTACTATATGGATGAGAGACCCGACCGCTGTGCGCCGAGGACGTCAAAATACTTCCACTGTTAGACCATCGATGTCTTCGGAGCGTTGCCCGAGTTTGGTAGGAACACCGGATAAGCAATCCTGAAGTACGTCGAATGTTATTTGGAGGAAATAAATCACACTCAATAGATGAAGTGATCACACTACATAGGTAGGTAGTATTTCGAACGCAAACCAAAACTCACCCTTGCGGGATGCCGATATCCCCAATAATCTTTTATTCGTTGAATTACTGTCAAGTTGACTTTTTTACAACTTTTCCCCGAAATTTTGGACACTTGCCCAAAAGATTGCGTCTCTCTCGTATTGGGTAGTCTCACTTTACATGAGCTAATGCATTTATTGTTCGGTCGGTCACCCAGAAATATGTATC